TGGGTGAATGGGTAGGGCTGAAATCCTTAAATTTGGAATTTAGATAAGTGTTGAAGTTTAGGATAGAGCTATGGAGACAGTTTTGGAAATACGAATTTATGTGTATAAATAGTACTAAATGCATTAAATTTGGAACAATTTGAGTAACGGAGAGAGCTGGAAACCTAAAATTTGTAATTAACTTTTACGAAATTTAGTGAAATGAAAAATATGATTGATATATGGAGGTAGTCTTGAAAATGTGTACTTATGCGTTCGAAAAGTGTTGAATGGAACTAAATGTGGAACCTGTAGGCAATTCTGAGTACTTTTGGATCTGTATATTGGAAAAAGAAAGAGATTTCAGAAATTAGTGCTTATGTGTATGAAGGGCACTAAATGGCAATTTAAAATATTTCCAATTTCCAAATATTTTATTTGTAACAGCTTAAGCCAAGTTTCTATTCCTACTATAAAATAATAATTAAATAAATATGGGAGGTATACCAAACCATGAACTGACATTGATAATTTTTGAAGATGAAGATTTGACACCCCAAAGGACCAATATTCAGGGACTTGGACCAATATTCATCATTTTTTGTAGGTAGATTTTCTACTCATGAGAATCCAAAGTAATAAAGTCGGAGGGGGTTGACTATATGATGCTCTTTACCACTTAGGCTATATTCAAGAGATGCATCCCAACAGATCTCGCATTTTTTAAGGACCACTGACATGAAATTGGACTAAATTAAATATGTGATCTGTGTCTAAATGTGAACCGACTTAACCCTACGATCAATAACCGGATACACTTGTACCTTTTTATACCCTCCACTATAATATGGAGGGTATATTAAGTTTTTTCGTTTGAAACTTAACGAAATAATAATTTCCGACCCTATAATCTTGATCAACGTAATTATAAATCCGTCTATCTATTGTAATGGGTAAATGAAGCATTTCATTAGGGCAGATTTAGAGTCGTTTTAGTGCGAAGGAACAAATTATGTAAATCGATTTAAATCAAACTATTAATTATGCTACAACACAGACCGCTATTCAAAATTTAATCTCAATTAAACAGCATATCATTATTTGGTGCACAATTAACATGAAGTCAGTCGAAAATATATATAGGAGCAATATTTGCATCTGAACCTATTTTTACAAAACCCAATATTCTAGGCTCATATTTAAACCTTAACATGTTAGGCTACACTAACTTTAGAATGTTGTGCGAAATTTGGTGTCAATTGAACAAACATGAAAAGTTTGGTGCACCATTCACCCAAAAATCGGACTATAATATATATGGGAGCTATATCTGAACCCATTTCATCCACTTACCAGACGTTATTGCAGACACATTTCGAAACGTTGCGCATAATGTTGTGTCAATCGGATGCACTTTAACTCTTTGGTGTACCATTTACATAAAATTGGGTGAAAATATATATGGAAGCTTAATATAAATCTGAACCAATTTAAATATCCTAACTTCAGTACGTTGTGCCAAAATTTCGTGGAGGAATTTCCTAAAAAGTGAACAATATTGATCATGTGAACCAATTGGAAGATTCAACCGATTAAGTAGAAGCTTATGCCCAAAACCATTAATATTCCGAATATTGGGAGACCGTTATATCGAGACTAAGCAGATTTGATAGCCAACTTGAATCAAAAATACCAAATTACAGCAGATTCTCTTGAATACTGTGGGTTACCGTTATATGTGGGCTAGCCTAAAAAGTTAGGATGATTTGATGCCCAATGAGAACCAAACGTAGTAAATTACCACTTCGGTAATAACGTGCCAAAAATCCCCACAATAGTTGGCTATACCACAACGTGGGACGATATACCACATCTACAATACCAACCATCCTATGAGTAAATACAATGCCAGTGAAAAATTTCGCAGAAAGGCGGACACGCATAATTTGACATAGAATTTTATTCTGAACAATAATATAAAGTGTGAAGCCAAATGTCCGAACCTTGACACGGTTGAATTTAATTCGTAGATGCGATCTCGCAACAATATTCGACATAAATACAACTTATCAAGTAAAGACATTTGTAAGCCACATTGGCTAATATGCCTGACGAGCCGCTTAACCAACGGCGAAACGCGTCGCATAGTGGTGGGAATGTAGTATTTCTCTGGCTTTCCTTTTCATTGAAACTCCGATCATGTAGCTCATCTCGAAAGAGAAATTAATAAATAACCAGTGAGCGGAGCAGTATAGTCGGACGGGGCCGACCATACGATACCCTACAAAACTACCACGGAACTTTATCTTTCTGTGGATGTTTATTTCGAACTTGGGCAATATATTTGCTCCCTCTAGCCCAATTAGAGGTCAACAGCATCTGATATATTTTCCGAATATTACTATTCATATTCAGTACAGATTCCGTACCGTGGGTTGTGTTGTGATTTTCGGCCTATTATTGGCATCGACTCGAAAAAACACAAAATCACCGAAAGTTATAGGCGTTGTCCTTGACCATAACTGGAACCTCATGGAAAATTTCAAAGCGACCAGTGCTATATTTCCGCCCTCTAGTGTGGTAATGGTTTACTAAATAATATCTGAGTAGATAAGCACATGTAAATATTTAAGCGTAACTCCCACATCCGAGTACATACGGCAATATAATTTGTATCAATTTAAAGGTCAACCACTCCTCTTGGATATATTATCAACTTTTCGGGTCTATGTCCTTCATGGGCAAACATATACGCCATGCAATTTTCCACACAAAAGTCTGAGTCCGCTAAATATTGACCGATCTTTATAAAAACAGGTATGCTTATTCTTTGGTCCGATCCCCTTCTCCATGTAAAAAAATGCGAAGTTTGGGCCATAATTGCGGCCACTAGAGCAACCACAAAAACCGACAAAAATTAAGTATTTGGTCCATGTCATCCCCTAAATATTAAACGATCTTTACCAAAAACAATAGGGGTCTTCATTGGGCCAAACCCTTCCTACATGCAAAATTTCGTGAAGATTGGTCCATAACGGTGGCCTGTATCGTGTTTACAAATTATAATGGACAGACGGAGGGACGGACGGACGGACACACATGTCTAGATCGACTCAGCTAGTCGAGGTATGATGATCGGTATACTTAAAGGTGGGTCTAGGACCAATATTTCGCGGCGTTACAAACTCTTGGGGCCGCACAAAGCTATAATACCCTGACAACATAGCTGTGTAGGGTATAAAAATAATATATATATATATATATATATTTTATGGTCTCCGGTGAATACTTCGATGTGTTGACAAATTTAATATACATTCCAAATTACAATGGAAGGAAAAAATGTGTCTGGAATGAAAATATCGGTGGTCGACCACAAATGTTTTTGGAGCATATCCGTTTCAGGGATTTTCTTGCTGGCTGGTATAAACGATAAATCTCGAAGAATGTTAACAATTTGATTAAAATTCTAAATTACGCACAAAGTACATTTGTTATGATCAAAGATGAAGACTATGGGTCTAGCGATTCTGGTACTTTGCCCCACAAAGGGCCAATAGGTTGAACACTTGTAAATTTGCTATGAAGCGAATTGATTATCCAAATTGATCCAAACTTTTCATATCACCATACTGTTACCATAACTGAAAATGTATGTCATAGGTAAGACCCTAATTCGAAAATTTTCGAAAAATATATATAAATAGAATTGGACAACTAATAGAACGAATGAAGTAGCCGATTTAATCCAAAACTTGCCAATTGTAATAAGTATACATAGATGTAGTTAAAATATGGTCCATTCCAGCTATGCACAAACCAGTAATTTAGCATGCATTTTGTCTTACTCTCACCAAAACTTTAGACAGATAAACGATGTATGAACATTTTTAACTTTACAAAAAAGTTTTTATGGTGGAAAATTTCTTATAGGAACCAAAACCCTTCAAAACCTAAAAGGACCAAATCGTCATAAGTATAGTTTTTAAGTTATGATTTTTTTTTACTGGTAACTCTAAAGTTTCTGGAGAAATATCTTTGTTTATGGCAATTGTTGGTTATTTTTTGTCTTTAATCAAGTCGAATGAAGAATAATTTTATAAAACATATACTCCTTCTATAGCTAATCCTTGTTGGTCTTTTTAGTTCTTATTTTTTGAACTATAATCTAAATAGCTCAATACCTCCAAATATTCTACAAAATATCGCTTATACGACTTAAGATAGGATTCTCAATGATAAGAAATCGATAATCGTATGCTTTCAGAATACCTTATATCTATGATCACAAATAAATTTCGAATAAATTGTACATTATGAAAAACTGTCTAAAATATATACCATAAATATATCACATTACGCCAAACGCGTTAAATCTGAAATCGGCAAGCCCGGCATTGGCCACCCGTCCAAAGCCGTTGATATGCAATATTTTTTATACAAAACTATGATCTAACGATAAATATCAGTTAAGAGATGTCTACTCTTGCTTAGAAAAACTGGCAGTAATAAGCGCCAGAATAATTTTATATGCTGAAAATGTGGCGTCCAAGAACCCGGAATGTAATATTACAGATACTTTGGTGGGAAAATGCGGCTTAAACATGTCGAAAATAAGACAGGGATAAATTGAAGAGTTTGCCAAAACATGGACCAATATTGTTAATTGTCGGCATAGATGTAAACAATATAACCGTTTTGATGTTAAAACAATACATGTACGGATTACAAAATTTTCAGTCAAAATACCATCTACATCTCGTAATAAATTCACAACTATTCCACACGCCATTCATATAATACACATTTTTTTATTTTACTATTTTATAGTTACTTTACTTTGTTTAATACTATTTAAATACTTTTTATTGAGTGTACACTACGCATATTTCCAATCACAGTACTATAAAATGATTTACTTATTCGCCATAATTCTATGAAATACTTTTTTATTTATTTAACAAATTGCACATTGTGATCTCCTCTATCATCGGTTGAACTCCATTTGTAGCGTTACTGGTTTATGGATCCGGCGACGTGGTTTCCCGCTTCAAACTGATGGCTTCATGCAGTGTTGGACTTAAGACCAAGGCAGGATTGGCTACCGCAATGATATGACTGCCAGCAGCTGATATAACTTGCACATCACTGGATAAGGGGCGTGATTTCGTAGGAGTGGTACTCAGATCGGAAATCAGACGATTTGTAGTAGACGAAGGTGTTGGCGAACCAATGCTGCTTGTCTGCAAATCGATTAGGGAGTTGTTGTTGTTATTATTATTGTTGACACAATCATTCGACTTCAAGAGTAACTTGTCAAGCGAGCTAATATTACGATCCTCTTCCGGACCATTGTTCTAAAAGGAAAAGGAAATAAATACACATTAATGAGAGAGGCTATGATTTTGTAATTAATATTTACAAAATTGAAAACATGAGGGCGATAATAGAGATCGTTCCATATGAGTAAATATTTGATTGTACGAATTATTGGAAGCATATATAAATGTTCGGATCGGATGAATATAAATACGAGTTTGGTGAAGAATGAATGAATACGAAGATGCAACATGAGGTGAAAATTGTACAGCAGAACAATAATAACTGTTTGTGGTTATGATAAAAATATTTATGGGAAATATAAAATTAGGTAGTCATATGAAAATAATAAATTTCCAATATGATGACCCTTTGTGCAAGAGCTAGTAGAAGAAGTGAACCGATTGATCTTATATTCGGATTTTACGAACATTTTTACTCTTTGGGCGAATGGTATGAGAAAGGGTGAACCGAAATGCTTCATCTTTGAATATGATCCAGGTTTGATAAAAATAATTACGTTTTGCAAAAAAAAACTACTTGAAGGAATAGATCTTTGAAAGGAAAATTTCGATGTACAAAATTTATGTATCGATCACAGCCTTCATGAGTTAGTGTGCCCTCCAGCCAGCAAGGCTATTGGCTATCTCTAAATCAACTCAGAATTGTTACAAACAGATTTGGTGCAAAGACAAATGGCGACTGCAGCCTATATTTCGATGAGTCAAATTTTAGATCATAAGCATGTTTTTTCTTTGTCCGTTCAACGATATGTATGTAGTTAAGCGTCTACATAATTATAACCGCAAATTTTCAGAATTTTTTATTTCGTTTTCCAACCGACTTTTGGGGTTTATTTAATCAGAAAATCTTACTATCAGTACCAACTGGTAACTTCATTATCCGCATTGTAGAAGATATACCCACTTTGAACCGATTGATATTTAAGAGTGGAGTACGAGAATAAAAATATGTCATTGCGTGCCATGTCAGGCCTGGCCCATTGTCGCATTGTCATAGTGCACAAGAATCAGTTTGATCTTTTTATACCCTCCATTTGCCAATACGCTTGCATTTGGCGATACCTCATAAAGTATACATAGAAGTATATTCTCAGAATAAAATTCTATGTCGATTTATGCATGTCGGCCTGTCTGTTAAAATAACAACAGAAATCGCAATATTTTAGATATTGATTTGAAATTTTGCACTGGGATTGCTATTATTCCTAGGATGGTTGGTATTGCAAATGAGGTACATCGGTCCACGTTCGGTATTATGGGGATTTTTGACAAATTATCTACCCAATAGGCTGTAATTTTTCACGATTGGTAATAATAGTTGATACCCAATGACAACCAATAGTGGATCTTCCTACCAAAAATGATCAATAGTGGTCTGCTTTATAGGGTAACCCCTATATAACGGTACCCCCCATTATTCGTTATTGTTTTTTAGACCGGGGTTTCAGCAGCTGTAGATTGGTATTCTGTATTCACTTCGACTAAAAGATCTGCCAACGAAAAATGATCAATATTGTGGCATGCCATGACCCTAACAAAAACTATCAACATTGGCCCATGTTTCCGTGTAGCCCCATATAATGGTAACCTCCTTCATTAGGCACTTTGAGGGTTTTCCACACTTTTTATTATATCCTACACAACTATGTTGTCAGGTTATTTTAGCTTTGTGCAGCCCCAAAAGTTTGTAACGCCGAAATATTGGTCCTAGACTCACCTTTAAGTATACCGATCGTCATATATCGACTAGCTGAGTCGATCTAGACATGTGTGTCCGTCCGTCAGTCCGTCTGTCCATTATAATTTGTAAACACGATACAGGACACAGTTATGGACCAATCTTCACGAAATTTTGCATGTAGAATGGGTTCTGGCCAATGAAGACCCCTATTTTGGAAAAGATCGGTTAATATCTAGGGGACGAAATGGACCAAAAACATTATATTTGTCTGATTTTCTGGTCGCTCCAGAGGCCGCAATTATGGCCCAAACACCGCGAATTTTTGCATGGAGAAGAGGATCGGGCCAAAGAATAAGCATGCCTGTTTTGATAAAGATCGCTCAATATTTAGCGGCTCAAATGCACCCGACTATTGTGTGAAAAATGACAAAATTTGTATTCTATGGCGTATATATTTGCCCCTGAAGGACCTAGACCCAAAAGGTTGATGGTATGTTCAGGAGGAGTGGTTGACCTTTAAATTGATACCAGTTATATGGTCGTATGTACTCAGATGTGGGAGCTACACTTAAATATTTACAGGTGCTTACGTATTCAGACATTATTTAGTAACCCAAAACCAGATTTTCGTGGAAGTTGTGTAGGGTATCATATGGTCGGCCCCGTCCGACTATACTGCTCCACTCACTGGTTTTAACTGAATTGGCTCTAATTTGATTTTTCAGATTCTATCATTATCAATATTGGTTCACTTTTTGGGAATCGCCCATATAACGCTACGATTCCAATTTTGGTATTTTGGTGAGCTTAAGTACGCGCTTCAACAAAATTAGCTGTAATTTCATATTTTAGATTTCCATTAAGGTACACCTTTATTCTATGGTTTAGGCACCAAATTATTCTAATTTGATTTTTCAAGTTCCTACTTGGCATCAAATCTTCCTACCAAATTTTATCAATGTCAGCATTCGTTTTGGTATAGCTCCCATCGAAGAGTATGATCAAATATTCGTTATTTTGAAGACTTAAGCCACATTTTCCCACCGATTTCTGTGTAATTTTTTATAAAGGCTTATGGAATGAAATAAGCAATATAAGTCCATGTGTTGATATAGCCTCCATATTAGGGTAGCACCACTTTGTCAATATTTTTGCTAGATGTCCTCATTGGCGGGTAAAACAAATTTTGTGCGGAAGGATTTCTATGGAGGTCAGAAAAAACAAAATTCCACCCCCCTTTCCGATATAACGCAATAACGTAGTCCCCATGTAAATGTCCCGAACGACTTAAGGAATTTTGAATGCACATCACATGGTGGAGGGTAAAGAAGTTCGTCCGAACATGATGACGTTTTTACTTGTTTTTTTTTTTTAAATTCTCCGAAGACTTAGGGCAAACAAAATGTGGTGTACCACTCAGAATTGACTACCTACGTTGCTTAAATGGAACAGTCCGTTTTACAAAAATCAGGAGAAGATTTACTTCGATCTTCTTCTGTCATATTTATACCCTACACTACTATGTTGTCAGGGTATTATAGCTTTGTACAGCCCCAAAGGTTTGTAACGCCGCGAAATATTGGTCCTAGACCCACCTTTATGTATACCAATCGTCATATCTCGACTAGCTGAGTCGATCTAGACATGTGTGTCCGTCCGTCTGTCCATTATAATTTGTAAACACGATACAGGCCACAGTTATGGACCAATCTTCACGAAATTTTGCATGTAGGATGGGTTCTGGCCAGTGATAAAGATCGGTTAATATTTAGGGGATGAAATGGACCAAATACTAAATTTTTGTCCGTTTTTCTGGTCGCTCCAGAGGCCGCAATTATTGCCCAAACATCGCGAATTTTTACAGGGAGAAGGGGATAGGACCAAAGAATAAGCATGCCTATTTTGATAAAGATCGATCAATATTTAGCGGGTCAAATGGACCCTGACTTTTGTGTGAAAAATTACAAGATTTGTATTCTATACCGTATATATTTACACTTGAAGGACATAGACCCAAAATGTTGGTAGTAAATCGCAGAGGAGTGGTTGACCTTTAAATATACATCAATTATATTGTCGTATGTACCCGGATGTGGGAGTTACACATAAATATTTACAGGTGCTTACGTATTCAGACATTATTTATTAACCCATTACCACACTGGATGGCGGAAATCTAGCGCTGTTCTCTTTGAAATGTTTCATGAGGTCAAGGACAACGCTTATAATTTTCGGTGATGATCAGATAATAGTTTTGGGAAAAAAGTGGACCGAAAACTTAATTTTTTGTGTAATTTCGAGAAGATCGACTCCAATGGCCACAATTGTTAGCCGAACTTCACAAAACAAAAGGTGGAAGGGAATCTGGACAAGTAATTAGAAAGGCTGTGCTGAATCTTAGTAATATTTGTTTACCTATAGTCCGTCAAGAGTGTGCAAATATCGCGAAATATTGCCCAAGCTCAGAACATAAAATCACAGAAAGTTAGACTTTCGTGGAAGTTGTGTAGGGTATCATATGGTCGGCCCCGTCCGACTATACTGCTCCGCTCACTGGTTCTTTTTTTTTTTTTTTGGATTTCCGTATTTTCTTTGCATGTCAAAACTCCTATCTTCTTATCAATAACAGTACGCCCAATTTTGGGTATTTTGAGGGTTTCTGGCACTTTTATCAAGCGAGTTGACAATTAAAATATACCAATGAGTAAGAAAGAGTTGCCACCCACTCTTTCTTACTTAAATTGCAAATAACGGTACATAATCAGGTATATTTCCCAAAAAATTTCCAGCGAGTTGACAATTAAAATATACCAATGAGTAAGAAAGAGTTGCCACCCACTCTTTCGTACTTAAATTGCAAATAACGGTACATAATCAGGTATATTTCCCAAACTAGTGATGGCTCTATCTTTGTCGTTCTTTGAATATAGCCCTCATATTAACTTTTAGTCCAATTTTTCGATTTTAGACATTTTTAATGTTCATCCCATGGTGGAGGACGTAAAAGTTCCACTCGGACGAACTTAACGTCGTTTTTACTTGTTTTTCAAAATAAATTTTCAAACGAATTTTTTTTGCGATTTTATTATCAATTTTCGAAGCTAAATTATAAGTCCATATTTTTATATATACCCAATGTTTATACCAAACACCCAATAAATGTTCGTAATAAATCAAAACAACATAAAACGAAACACATACTCACTGGCATAGATGGCGAACTGGAATTGCTGAACGAAAAACGTGATTCCTGATCTTGATCATCCAAATCATTGGGTTTTGTTAATCTAAATATGGAAAATGAAAAAATTGTAAACATAATTTTTTCCCCATATCAAATATTGTCCCCATACAAACTTACGTGAATTTTGCAATATCGGCCAAATCAAACGGTGGCTTTGCAGCAAATTTCTGGTACATGGCAAACAGATTGTAACGTGGATCCTCCACAGATTCCTTCAAAACGGATTAATTTTACGAATTTTTATGTTTTAAATTAGTTTTTTTGTTTTTTTTTTAATTTTTTAAAATTTTCATTTTACTATTTTTTTCTCGATAAGCTCTATGAAATAAATACGCAGCAGGATTTTTGTGGTTTTCTTTAAGCATTTAAAATATATTTTTTATTCAAAAAATTAATAGTTGGCAGCAGATACAGGAAGTCATTGTTGGAAATAATGAATTAATAATAATAATGGTATGCTAAGCTTAACAATAACACAACTACAAAACTAATAACAAAACAAAAAATATTTAAAAAAAAAAACAACTGAAAAGCTTTTACAACTAAATACCATTACCAAGCAATATTAAAACAAACAAAACAATAATAAAAAAGTGTTCTACCAAACTAAATTAAAGCTAAAACTAAATTACATTTAAAATCTGGGCATATGCAAAACAAATATTTAACCAAAACTATTTTTTACAGTGGCAACACTGTAAAGCTTTTCACATTGTAGATGAAAATTTGTGTCCATAACCGTAAGTAAATTGATGTACAATTTACAAATCCAATGCAAACAATCTATAAAGGGAAACTTTTGACAATTCTCCTCTAAGAATTTTAAAATTCCTATAAAAATAACGATAAAATATATAAATATACAAGTTTTCCACAGAAAGCTTTTATAATCTAGCAGGTATCTAAAGAGGGGGGAAATTCATATAACTTGGGGTAAGAATATTGTGGATTAAAATTTAAATACCTAAATAAATAAATACGAGGAAGATGGAGTTTTAGGAAACATTTATAGGAACAATAAATATAAAAGCTTACAAAGTCCTTTGAAGCTTTTTGTATGAAATAAAATATTTAATGGAAGGGAAGCTTTGAAGAAAAGCTGCAAATTGTTTATATATTGTTTATATATATTTACAGGGAGGATTTTCCAACTAAAAAAGCCTTTAAAAACGTTAATTATTTCAAAACTGGAGCAATGATATCAAACAACAAGCTTAATATATATTTACACATTAAAGAGGATATTAAATATGATTTGTCCTTAAACAGCTTTCATATTTTCTCCCAGCACACAACGTTTTCAATAAAAATGTCTTTACAAAAGCTATACATGTTAAAAAAGCTCACCACCATAGGAGTAGAGAATAAAAGCTGAAAATAAATATTTAGCATTTTGAGAGAATTTCTCTCGTGATCTCCTTTTTAAAGCCACAACCGAAAGATCGAAGCAAAGCTTAAAAGCTCTAACTGTGCTTATTTACTGTTCGCTTTTCGTAATTCTTACCCGATTGCTATCGGCTGCCGACAAACTAGCATCAGACGATGACATCCTTTGACGTTTGTTTGGTGTTGAGTTATTCGTATCATTCGATTCACAATCTAACATGGCCGAAGCGGAACGTATTTGTCCAGCGGCATTTTGATTGACGGCGCCACCCCCAACCATTTGTGAGAGTAAATTGCCATAGCGGGCAATCGATGCCGAGTGGCCAAATCCGGCATCTTTAACAATTTGACGGGCCAAGGGGAAGAGTTCATCACGTCGTGTTAGCAAGGCAGGGACCAGACGGCACAATTGAGCGGCAGCCTCATTTACGCAAACTTCGTGTAGGGTTAACGGTTTTTCGGGACGACGTTTGCAATCGAAGCGACCATAGATGGCGGAATACTTACGAATTTCATCCATGCGGCGTGGGTCATTTTCATTCATGGCCATAACCTGTTCCAATTCACGGCTGGTGCGTTTCTTAGAGGTGTGAGCACGGGGTTCACGTTGTGGCAATTGTGAGGCAATTTTTTCAGCACCCATTGTAATGCGGGCAACTTGCATTTCACTGAGGACGGGAGTCAATTGGGGGGAGCTGGAGGTAACCTGATGGGCAGTGTTTGAGGCAACACCACTACCCGTCAATTGGGGAATATTTACCATAGGTTGGGGTCTTTCGGTGGGATGGGTGAGAGCAGAGGGAGGTAGAACATGACTGGCAACGGTGGGATTGTGGGCAGGCAATGAGGGTAGGGAACAAATTTGTGAAAGTAAATGGGCAGAGGCTGCACCCGCAGGGGTCACTGTACTAACAAAGGGTGTGGGATTAAAGGGGGCGTTGGTATTGAAAGAGGGATATTTGGGACGTATGGGACCTGGAGAACGAGATAGTTCAGCATTGTATATGGCAGTGCTAGATTTGGCCGGGGTTTCAAATTGACCTGTAAAGAAAAGGAAAAGAAGAGGAAGAAAAAAATTAATAAAAATGTTAAAAAATGGGTAAAGATTATATAAGAAAAAATATACAAATTAAATATATATATATATATAATATTTATTACGAAAATTTATATATTATCAGAAAATAATATATAAAATATATTATTTTATAAAATATATATTTTTTTAACATAATATGTAAATTTATATTAAAAAAATTTATTATTTAAAGGTATTTTCAAAAATATTTAAATATTTTAAAAATTTTTTTAAAATTAAATATAATAATACAAAACTTACCACTATTGTG